CCCCCCCCCCCATGCTGGTGGATGCTTCCAAAAAAACACCAGTGCTCCATGTGATACTTCTGAAGGGCCCTCTGCGATTGACCTCTGCCGGGCCTGATTGCGCAGCCGGAGCATCAGGGTGCCAGGCTGCCTCTGGCTAGCGGGAGACGCTAGTGTGGAGGTGCTCAGTAATGAGCATCCCCAGGGTGTACCACTCCCAGGAGCGTCCTATTTTTTGATGGACTGGCCTCTGCTCGTGTGTCTCCTCTGAGAGACTGTGGTCCCCCCACTGCAAACCTACTTTAGTGGAACGCTCCAGATAAATGAGGCTGCTGAGATGCTTTGAGTGGTGGCGACCCCTTTCTGGGGGTAGTGGTACTGGCTGGACTTTTGTAGAAACCCTGATAATTCTGGCCTTTTGTGACCAAATGAAGGCATTTTAGAGGTCAGGATTCCTGAGCTGCGTTACAGGGGACAGCAGCTGTATGGTCAGATAGTCGTCGTGCAGGATGCTAATTCCATGCTTGCCTCACCTTGTCTCTCTCCCTCTCCTGCAGACCTCTACTGCACCCTGGAGGTGGACTCCTTCGGCTACTTTGTCAGCAAAGCCAAGACCCGGGTGTTCCGGGACACCGCAGAACCCCAGTGGAACGAGGTCAGCCAGCCTATCTCGCCTCCTTTCACCGTAACCCAAACAGAGCTCTTTCTGTCCCGCAAACCCTGGGGGCAGCACTCTCTGTTGGGTTTCCAAGCACATTCTTGACACCATTCTTGATGCCCCCCCACAGGAGTTTGAGATCGAGCTGGAGGGCTCACAGTGCCTACGCATCCTCTGCTATGAGAAGTGCTACGACAAGACTAAGCTGAACAAGGATGACAACGAGATCGTGGACAAGATCATGGGCAAAGGCCAGGTGCAGGTGAGCAGGAGGGACATGCCGTTCCTGGGTGTCCTTCCACTGATTCACACCCTCCTGTGGCTCTCGTACTTGAGGCATGATTCACTTGTTGCACTGTGCCCCCCCCCGGCACAGCAGCTGGGCCCAGTGCACTGCTCCTTGAAGTGGTTCTGCAGGCTGTCTGGAAGGGTGATCTGTCCCCCCCCCCGCTTCCGGGATAAGCCCCCAGTAAACCCCTGTGCTCAGTACATAATGTCCCTGTACTGAGAGGAGAGGCAACTCCGGTCACTGTCCTGTGCAACCCCCCCACCCCCATTTAGACAGACAGCTGCAGATGGGCGCTGTGGTTTGCAGCTTAATCTGACTACGTGGAGAACTTCTTTGCCTTTCATCTTGTGCTCTAAAACCGTCATGAAGACTCGTTTGGCGTCTTGGTAACGGAAACTGAGAGCCGTGTTGTGTTGGACTGCAATGTCCGCATGAAGGCCAAGGATCGAGTTAGGCTTTATTTAGTTTCCTTTATCATTTACTTAGTGATAGACTTGGGTGGTATGGTAGTAGTACAGTGTACCCCAGTATTTAGAAGTCCCAAAGATATTATTTTTAAAAGCGTGAAAAATACAGATACTTCTCTTTATAAATTGATACGGGGATTTTGTACTGAGGTGTTGATAAGAGCCTTTCTTAAGTACAAAGAATGATGCGCATGTGTAGGTTAACGGCACAGAAATAAAATGTGCCATGAATGCACTGTAAGCTGGAATATGCACTGCATGCTTGAAGCATAGTGCGCATTTGGCTGCATCTTGGGCAGTGACAGTGGTGTCAATAAACGAAGGGTCATCGTTTTAAATTTTCAACAAGGAGTTGTCTCCTCATTTCCCTGCCACTTAACCTCCACACTGATGAGGCCGTTATCTGATTCCGGAGTTTACGGCAGTTGAGGGGTCTGGGGCCCAGTGGTGAAATCACTCTGCCAACCCTGCGATTTGAACCAGCGACTTTCTGATTACAGGCACAGTGTCCTAGCCCACTGAACCACAGATCTACAGCTGTAGTGCAGTTAGACCGTTACATTATGATTAAAGTGTTAAAGTGATTGAGTGTTCTGCTGCGGTATTATTTCAGCGCCCTGTAAAGCTCCTCGCTTTTTCCTCCAGGCAGCCAATTAGTGCCAGCCAATCATATCAGACACACCACGGTGTAGCTGTTTTCCCTTTTGGAAGTCGAGAAAGTGAGGTGTTTGCAGAAGAGATGACCTCCACCAACTCTCAATACCTGCCCCTCTCTGATCCCTGCGTCCAGCGCCATGGCAACTTGGGGGAAGGTGATGTGTTCATATAAATGTCTGACTACAATAACAGTGACTGTCAAGCTGGACCCCAGTTGTTGCCCAGAAATCTAGTTCTTTCAGGGTTTTTGAACCCCCAGCATCAAGTGTGAATACCTGGACTGAGCAGGGCTCACGATGGGGAGCGAGTGTCCACTCCCTCTCATGGCCTGGTCCTCGAAGCGCTCTTGGCCTCCTCCGATGCTTGGTGCTGTCGTTAGCCGATATCAAGCTGTTTTAGAGACACCCCGTATGGTGGAAGCTACACTGGACCTTTAAATGCAGCATGTCCAGGATGAAAAGGAGAGACCCCCCACCCCCACACTCTGGTTATTGCGGTAATTCTCGCAGGGCTCCAGTGCACTGTGGGATTGTTGAATAATTGATGACACGCTGCTGGTTCTTGGAAATGGCTGCCAGTTCACTTGATTGCCGCACGTGTGCAGTGCCCATATTCAGCACTCCAGGTGTCGCCTCCCGCATCCCGCTGCCAGTGATGGCGTTTGACGATCGAGGTGGTAATGATTTCGTGTTTTGGAGGGGGGGGGGGTTTTACCTGAAAGTGATGGAACCACTTTTTGGGACATGGCTGGGGCGCTAAGGTGCCCTGCGGGGGGGAGGTCTCCCTCGCCAACTGCATACCACACTGCTCAGACTTTTTCTTGGACCCTCTCTGTTTTCTTTAGTGTTCAGATCTGAAAGCAGCTTAAATGTTTTGTTTCCTTCCCCCGAGAGACTCTGATTCATTTAACGAGTCTCTGGCAATGTAAAAAGGCCCTTAAATGGGCATCGAGAGCAGTGGCCCCTGTGTTTCCCTCTCGGCTGTCGGAGCGGGTTGTCACAGGAGGCCAGATCGACAGCGATGGTGCAAAAACCCTGAGAATGTTGCCCAGAGCAGCCTTTCATCCCGGAGGGGTGAACTCTGGGGGCCTGGAGGAACACAGGTCACGGAAACGGGCGGTGTCGGTTCTCCTGGTGTCGCACAGTCAACTGGGTGCCTTTGGATGGAGGAACCAGAGGTGGGGGGGGCCTCTGCTTTGGGTGGGGGGAGCGGGTGAGATCCGTCCATCTGTCAGCCATGACCCCCACCCCCACCCGAGGGGTTCTGATGACCCGACCAATGGGTTCTCCAGATGTGAATGCATTAGTGAAGCTACGTCCATTTCGCCCTTCGTGGAACCTGAGGCTGTTATCCAGGTTGGTGACCCTGCTGGTGTCCACTTCAGTCATTCGTGCATCACCAGCTCAGAACCTTCTGCACTGACCTCCGAGGCCTGGCAGGTCGTCAGACTTTGACATTGGCCTGGAGCGTGACGCTGTGTTCTTGGGGTCACCCTGTTTCTGGGACACCCGAGAGTTTTTCTGGCTGTTTTAAGAGCTCTGCTTGCGCAACGGCCCGGTGCCATAGGGGCTTTCGGGGGGGGGGCTCAGCAGCATGAAAGGCGCCGGGCTATTGGTCAGCGCGTCCCGCGAGACCCATTGGAACATGCTACCTGAGTGCAGCTTCCTGACCCACGAAGCTCGCCGCGGCCCCGGCCCGGAGCAGGCAAGGGCAAGTTCTGCAGAGCTTTTATTCCAGAGATGTTATTGATAGTGGTTCTGAAATATGTTGATGAAAATGACAACATTGTGTTTTGTTTGGAAGAGTGTTGTGTTTGGTAACGTGTTGTTGAGCTGTGGCTCCAGCACACAAGTGTCAGCCTTGCCACTCTTTTGGTTAGATAGACTGAGAAACAGAGGCATGGCTGGATGAATGGATACTTTATTAATCCTCTAGGAAATTGCAGGTTTATAGTCTGGACAAAAAACACATTTAGTGTATAATAAAAATATATGTAAACCATAACAATAAAAAATAATTGACAATAAACAATGTCCCAGGAATTATTGAACTAAATAATTATGGGCAAATAATTGCTTGTTTAGTATGGTGTATTTCTCTGGTTAGATTAACATCCAGGGCACGTTTGGAAATCAAGGCCCAGTCTTAGAAATCTTGGCCCAGTAACGGAAGTAGACAGAAGCTCTTGTGTAACACTGTGTTCTAGGCCTGGTCTGGAGGCTAGGGCCTGTTCGTTCCAGGTTCGTTCCAGTGCCTTGGGGGCCCTCGCAGGGCTCCTCTCTGGCTGCCCTCACGCAAAGGTCGCCCATATTTGTCGCTTCTTGCCGTCACGTTGCCATGCCTACCGCCCCAGTTTAGCCAGTCAGGCTCCCAGATGGCCATGAAGGGACAGCACCCTCTTGGGGTAATAGAGCCTCCCTCTCCCTCATGTAGGCAGCCTCGTATTCATGCACACATGCACTCCCACGACCCCCCAGTGAAGTAATGTTCTTCTCCTTATTCATACCCAGATCCCTAGTCCTGTTTCCCGGAAAGTTTTAAGAGGGGAACCGAACACAACTCTTTGTTCCTACGCAAGCCAGGAAGGACAAATCTGTGTGTGTTTATTATCATTACCCATAAGGCTGCTGTGCAGACCTCCCGGGGGGGTCGGGGGACATGTTTGAACATTTACAAGGGGTCCTTGGCTGAGGGGGGTGGCAGGGAGCAGTAGTGAAATGTAATGGGGGTAATATGGCCTCTCATCCATCATCCTCAGTAGGCCTCCCCATCCTCAGCACTGCCCCCCCCCCCATTTCGGTGCAGAAGGTGATGAATGGGCGGCCATGTGGGGCCCATCAATAGACAGGTGGGGATTTATATGCTGGGGCTAGCTTGCTCATTAATTGGGTTCTTGCGCCATAGCATGTGTGACGGCATCTCCTAGCCTTTCCTTCCCCAGTCGCCATGTTGCCCCACCACATGGCAGCCCCGTGGCCTCTCTCCGTCAGCCCTTCATCACCCCCATCTGGCCCCGTTCTTAGAAGCGCCGCCCTGCTTTTCCTCAGAACTCTGTTAAATCCCTGCCTGTTATATTAGCCTGTATTCCGCCACTGTAATATCCCATAAGGACGCAGTGCCCCTCTGAAATGCGCTCTCTTCTCTTTGCTCGTTGGACACAGGCGCGCCTGTTCGGTCCTATAAGGCCAAAGTAGCTTCCCTCCCCTGCTGACGCCTCTCCCCTCTGGAGATCACCATGTAGGTTATGTACTGATCCGGAAGCATCTGTGGGGAACACATGGTTCCGGTCCATAGGCCTTTAGGCTCGATGTACAGTTCCATGCTGGGGTCGCATTCAAAGGGATTGAAATCCATGACAGGCGTGCCTCAGACCTTCTTGGTGTTACCCAAACTGCTTCTCGACACGTCTTTCATGGGCTGGATGTCGATAAATGTGGCTTTTCCCCTGACCACACACTATGGGGAAAAACAGGATCCAGAACAGGCTGGGGTCCTGCCCCAGTGCCAGAGCAGCGGCACATGGAGATATAAAAATACACACTCTGGCCGGGGAACAGCAAGGTGCCGCTGTAAGACCACCCCCAGCAGCTCCTGATTGGAGACCCCTACCCCCTCGCTAATGGAATCCAGACCTGATCATTGACGGGGGGGCACACATGCAGACAGGCCCCGACTGCCCATGGAACCCCCTGCTTTTTTTTCTTTTTTTTTCTTCAACTTTATTTATTAGAATTTTAAACAATAACATGATACAAAAGGTACAAATGTTGGTCTCGATCTTAAAACTCACCCACACCTCTATCCCCTTTAATACACAGTAAAATGTAGTAACTAAATAATATTAACAATGAAAATATACAAATTAAATCAAAATAATTGAAAATAAATAAATAGATAAAAGTAAATAAAAATAATAATAATTACTTAACATAAGGAGAAATAAATCTAGTGGTCTCTATAAATTACTAATAATTATGAGTATTAGGCATACAGATTTTAATGTGTTACTGTGGGTAAGCAGTACCAAGGATCAGTGGTCAGTCGTAGACTGTATTCATTTTCTTATTTATCAATTAATTAGTTTGGGGGAAGAATTTTCATTTTTTCAAAAAAGGTGATCATGGGTTCCCAGTTTTTGGTATTTTTTTTACTTGAGCCTCTAATGCAATACTTTATTTTCTCCAATTTTAAAAAGGATATTAGATCCCAGAGCCACACTGATGCAAGTGGTGGCTGTGTAGACTTCCATTCCAACAATATCCTTCTTTGTGCAAAAAGAGAGGCAAAAGAGAGAGCATTTTGAGCCGTACTCATCAATATTGTTCCATCTCTTGGTATTCCAAATAAAGCTATTTCAGCACTAGGTTTTATGTTCAGTTCAAATGCCTCATTTAGAATTTTAAATACAAATCCCCCAAATCCCCAAAAGCCTCTCAGTTTACAACATGACCAAAACATGTGCACAAAGTCAGCCTTGGTTAAGTGACATCTGTCACAAGTTTCTTCTAAATTGGGGAATATTTTAGAAAGTCTGACTTTGGTTTAGTAGACACGGTGGGTAACTTTAAATTGAATTAAGCCCAACCGGGCACATGATGTATTTCGGTTTACCATTCTAAGTGCTTTTTTCCACGTGTCATCAGACAATTCAATCCCCAATTCTTTATCCCATTCTAATTTAATTTTTTCTGTTGATGTATTGTTTATGGACATAATTATATTATATATTGTAGAAATTTGACCTCTAGGATGGAGGGGAATTTGCAAAATATGTTCTAATGCAGAATGACCTGGCAGAGATGGAAAACATGGACTTTGAGATTGAATAAAATGTCTAATATGGAAATACCGAAACAGGTGAGATTATGGCAATTTGAATTTTTCAGAGAGGGAACTAAAACTAGCAAAAGTTTTGTCACTATAGAGATCAGTGCATTTATCAAGACATAACTTTTGCCATGTCATAAATGTGTGGTTTAGTCAGGCTGCAGGGAAATTATTAGTACATATAGGACTTAACATAGAAAAATTATTAAATTTATATTTCTGATGAAATTGGGACCATATTTTAAGTGTAGAGGCCACAATGGGACGTGACGTATATTGCAAGGGAGTGAA